GGAAAATAACAACCCAAATCTGTCATTTTTTAATCGAGGAGACCCAGCAGGTCCTTCTCCAGGTAATTGGACTGGAAGAATGAGGTGGCCCAGATTCCTGTCTTTCCTAGAAATGTCATTTTCTGGGCTGACAACTGGGATTTTTCCCATTTCCCCTCTTTTTATTTTTATTTTATTGTTACTATTTCTCTTGGAGAAGTTTAAAAAAAATACTATTTTTATGTGGTTCGTGCAATCCCTGCCACAAATTTTCTGTTCATGTCCTATGATTTAAAAATACATATAAATTCTAAAATATATATTTTATATTTAAAATATATCTAAATTATAATATATAACATATATTTATGCATAAATATATATTTATATAAATATATGATATATTTATATAATTTTTATTTAATATAAAATTTGTAATGTATAAGATATATTTATATTTATATGGAAATATATGTTTATATAAATATATAATATAATATAATGTATAAAATATATTTATATTTACATATAAATATATATTTATAGAAAAAGATATAATACATTTTTATATATTTTATATTGAATAGATAATATTTTATATTGGATAGATAAAATGTATAATGTATAATATATATTTATATGGAAATATATGTTTATATAAATACATAATATTATGTATAACATATATTTACAGTTACATATAAATATATATTTATATAAAAAGATATAATACATTTTTATATATTTTATATTTAATAGATAATATTTTATATTAGATAGATAAAATGTATAATGTATAATATATATTTATATGGAAATATATGTTTATATAAATACATAATATTTTGTATAACATATATTTACAGTTACATATAAATATATATTTATAGGAAAAGACATAATACATTTTTATATATTTTATATTGAATAGATAATATTTTATATTGAGTAGATAAAATGTATAATGTATAATATATATTTATATTTACATGGAAATATATGTTTATATAAATACATAATATAATATAATGTATAAAATATATTTATATTTACATATAAATTTATATTTATAGAAAAAGATAATATATTTTTATATGTTTTATATTTAATAGATAAAATTTATAGTGTATAATATATACTTGTGTTTATATGGAAAGATATGTTTATATGAATATATAATATTATGTATAAAATCTATTTATATTTACATATAAATAGATTATAGAAATATATAATACATTTTTATATATTTTATATTTAATAGATAAAATTTATAATATATATTTATATTTATCTGGAAGTATATGTTTATACAAATATATAATATAATATATAACATATTTTTATATTTGTGTATAAATATATATTTATAGAAAAAATCTAGTATATGTTATGTATTTTATATTTAATATATAAATTTTATAATGTATAATATATATTTATATTTGTCTGGAAATATATATTTATATAAATATAGCATATAACATATTTTTATATTTACATATAAATAGATACTTATAGAAAAAGATAGAATACATTTTTATATATTTTTTATTTAATTGATAAAATTTATAATATATATTTATATTTATCTGGAAGTATATGTTTATACAAATATATAATACAATATATAACATATTTATAGATAAATATATATTTATAGAAGAATATCTGATATATTTTATGTATTTTATATTTAACAGATAAAATTTATAACATGTAGTATATATTTATATCTCTATATATGTCTATATAAATATATATTTTATTTTTATATATTATCATATATGAATTATAATGATATCTATTTACATTTAAAATATAACAATTATTATATTTAAAAATCTCTAAAAATTAATATGTATTAGAAGATTTTAATCATTCCATCCCATTTGTACAACCTTCAGATTTCCCAGCTGAGGAGGAGCAAAGAGACCCCCAACCCCCAGCTGGCTCTGGTGGAAATGCTGCACTTGGAGGGGCTGAAGATACTTCAAAAATCAGCTGAGGTTCTTTGCAACTCGAATTTGGCAACACCTGGGACAGCTCTGCTTTACTGAAGATTTTTGACCAGGGAATTTTCCTTAAGCTGCCCAAAATTCCTTTTTAATTGTGACTGTGCTGTGATTATTTTCCCTCCGGGGGGGAATCACGTTTACCAGAATATTTCCTTACTCTTTGTGGCCTTTTTAAAGAGCTGTGTCTAAAAAAAGTGTTTATTTTTGTAAGTTTGTTGCTTCACTTTCCACAAGACTTGCTCTATTTTTGAAATGAAGGGAATTGAAGCAGGAAAAGTGTTCTGGGGAGCGATAGAATTTAAGGGAAAAAATGCAACAAGTGGCAACTGTGAAGTGTTCAAGCTCAGCTGCACTTTCAGGCTTTCCTTGGTACCTCGTGGACAAGAACATTATTCACAGAATCCCAGAATGGTTTGGGTTGGAAAGGATCTTAAACATCATCCAGTTCCAACCCCCTGCTATGGGCAGGGACACCTTCCACTAGCCCAGGGACACCTTCCACTAGCCCAGGGA